TGCGGCTGGTTCAGCACACCATCGACACCGGCTCTGCTCAACCCATCTGTCTGCGCCCACACCAACTGCCCTTCTTGAAATGACTGGGGGAGTGGGCCCAGGAGGCACTGGGCGTGGCTACTGATCGGGCCACAACAAGCGGAGAGGGATGGCTCTCGTTGACCATGCAGCAGCTGAAGCGGGAGCAGGAGGCTGATGCGAGGTTGGTTTAAGTGGGGGCCTGGCTGGAGGCGGCACGACGCCCAGGCTAGACATGGGTATCAGGACAGGGGCCCAAAGTGAAGGCCTACTACTCCCAGTACAATAATCTGGAGACCCACGACGGCCTCCTATACCGGAGATGGTGGGCAGCCGGTCAGGGCAAGGGTCTCCTGCAGCTGTTGGTGCCTCGGTCGCTGCGGTCACAGATGTTCGAGCTTGTCCACGGCTTAGGGGGCCCGGCCACTATGGGAATGCCAAAACTCTCCGTCATCTCAGGGGATGGTTCTACTGGCCTTCATGTGCACTGCTGTGACACCTGCACGGCACGAAAGGGCCCCACTTAATGCTCCACTGCCCCCCTGCAGCAGCTGCTGCTGCTCCCTAACAAAGTGTGTGTATTTATGTGTCAAATACTTGCCATTAATAACCCATGCACAACAAAAATATTAATGACTAAACTTAATATCCACAGAAAATAAACATTTACATCTCTGTAATAATGATAGTGCTCATTATATAATAAGATTTAGGCTTGCGGTGCAATGCAGTCAGTCAAAAAGATGCAAATTAGCAAAAATCTATGATGGATTTAGTTTTTCCAATTAGAACACGCCAGAAATGATCTGCAATAGACTTAATCGAGAGAGTGAGCATCACAACTTCTCCCCAACAAAAGCTGCTCACAGAAATGTAAGCTTTATGACAGAACTAAAGTACCAACATGCATCCATCGAGTGTGAGTACATGTGTGTGAATGACCGATAGAAAAAAGTGCTTGGGAGAATAAGGCAAGTTGAGTACAGCACTTTGAGCTATAATGTGTATGTTAAACATATATATTAAAACAGATGTGTGTATTTCACATGTTGCTTTGCTCTGAGTTCATAGTTGCATGTCTTTGAGTGTTTTAAAAGAGACAGCGATCTTCTTCCAGCCACTGTCAGTTCATACCTCTGATCACAATCCGATCTTTTTTTTTTTTCCTTTTAGCTGAAGAAAAACAAAATGTATTTTTTCTTCACATCTGACTGGAAGCTCAAGGAACAAACTGAATGGGCTGCTCGTGTCTGAACACTACTTAGATGCTCCTAATAATTAATGTACCGTACAGCATCCCCTCACTACTTTATGTTTTGCCTCCAAGTAGCCAGACTTTCTTGTAATTTTGTAAAGTGTCCTTGAGCAATAGTTCTTCACTCTTCCTGAAGGAGTGGGAAGGAAAAGTTGTCCATTGGACTCTGGCTGCTTTTGCACTCGTTTTCAGTCCAGTTCTTGTATCTGTCCATTCTTAGAAGAATGTTTATGAATCATTCAAGTATAAAAAAAAAACTCCTAGGTTTTTCCATTATCCACTTCATTACTAGCAACCTCTCACAAAAACATATGTTCTTTAGATGGATCTATGAAAAATAGCAACGATTTTTCAGCCATAAATTTTTATTTTTGCACCAACAACTGAGCATGGTTTGCAGCATGTCCTTAAAAAATTGACGGATAAAGTCTCAGCCCTAAAACAATCCCCCTCAAATCTACAGCAGATGATCAGTATATGAAAGTCATGTCCTTTAAAAACAGGAAGAAATCCAGCAAAGACCTGAACCCAAGAGATGCATCTGGACTTTCCATTGATCCAGCTACTGTTCACTGAAGCCTCAACAGATATGGTCTCCCTGGAAGGGTAAGAAGCCATTCTTGAGGAAGGTAAACAGAGAGAAGAGGCTAAGCTATGAAAATTGCACAAGAACTGGACTTCAGTGAATCAGATAGGATGCAGTGCTGTTTGGAATTGGAATTATGAACAAAGAAAAGTACCATCAGATTCTGATCCACCATGCAATATCAAATGGAAACCACCTGATTGGCAACAGCTTCATTTTTCAGCGTAACCTTGGCTGGATTGAAACAACACACAATGGAACACTGTAAGTTATGGATTGGCCTCTCTCAGACCTCAGGATTGTTGAAGAAGTGTGGGATCATCCTAACAGAGGAGAGGCCTAAAGGCAGAAACATCCACAGAAGAGTTTTAAATGTCCTTCAAGAAGCCTGGAGAACAATGCCTGAAGATACTTAAAGAAGTTAAAGAAAGTTGCCTCAGAGAGTTCAGACTGCTTAAGAATAAAGGTGAAAGGCAGTCATATCAAAATATACCAAATATCGACTTTTAAGCTCGTTTGAATTGTACAAAGTCAGTTTTTTCCTTATATGTAATGTTTGGGGAATAATTACTTAATGTGTGTGTTTGTTTGTTTTTCCTTTTATGTGAATTCATTTTATATGAGTTAAATTTATGTGAAAGCTTTTCCCTTGATCTTTATCTCTTGATCCTAAAGTAGACCACGAGCCCTGAGATACATACAAAGAGATTGAGGGTGGACACCAGTCATCACTGATGACTAGTGAAAAATATTCGATTTTTTTTTCTACTAAGTTTTAATTGATTCTATGTTTTAAGTCTATAATTTCTCGGTTCTTTTTGAGCTATAATGGAAACAGTTGAACTATAGTTTAGAACTTTAACCAGCAGATGGCGCCAAATTACCACAAAGCAATCTAGCATAACTTCAGGCTCCTGTCTGATTTTATTATGAAGCCTCTTCCTACCATCACACAGTTATTTCCATTTTTACTGTTGACAGGAATAAAAAATCACTGTGTGACACCACATTAGAGATACTGGAACATCAAAGACATGAATATCAGAGAGTTCAGATTCACATTAATAAAATTCAGTTCAATTTTATTTATAAAGTGCCAAATCACAACCACAGTCACCTCAAGGCACTTTATAATGTAAGGCAGACACTACAATAATACATAGAGAGAGAAACCCAACAATTATATGACCCCCTATTGGTGACAGTGGGAAGGGAAACCTCCCTTTTAACAGGAAGAAACCACCAGCGGAACCAGGCTCAGGAAGGGGCGGCCATCTGCGGCAGCTGGTTTGGTGCGAGTGGATGACGACAGGACAAAGACATGCTCTGCTCCATCGTGCAGAGAAGGACCTACTCATGAACATGATCAGGGTGCATTAGTGTTAAAGGAATTATCAGCTGCCACATCAGGAAAGTCACCATCAGTGCTGAATGGTTAATAGGGTTTAGAGGAACGCACGCTCCCATCCAGATGAGGTCTTTTTCAGAGAATGCCTTGCATATTTCTGCAGGACAATGCTGAACCACATACTGCATCTATTATAGCTCCATGGCTTTAATGAGAGTTGGAGTGCTGAACTTTTTTTTGCAAGACTCACAAAACACAAGACTAGGGATGGATCAATCCAATATACAGTATCTCACAAAACTTGCGACATGGTGTAACTCAGGTAGTGACCTTAGCACGTCGAAGCCGCACGTGAAAGGCGGCTGTTGTGTACGAGACCTGTTGGCGATCTGGAGTTCACACTGAAAGCATCTGGAGCCTCGTTACATGCAGCCAAACCAGGAGTTGTGCCAAGGTGGGCATCCCAAACAAAATTTGTTCCCCCTGCATAGCAAGCATTAGTTGGGCACAGAATGCGGATCCAGTTTAATTTACTCCACCTCCATTACAGACAATTGCACGTGGAAGCAGAGATGTTTTAGTTTTGTGAGAAAGTGAAAAATGATTGTCGTTACCTTACCATTTGAGGGTTACAACAGAAAATTATTTATTGTGGTATCGGACAGTATTATGAAACCGTTTCGTGGTTTGAAAAGAAAAAAAAATTACGCAAAACCAAGGAATACCAATCATGCACAAAAACACATGGACACTGGGTCACCAGACCCAGAACCAACTGGCCTGTCTGCAGTCCAAACCTTTCACCAACTCTTGAGAAGCGTGCATGAGTTGCTGAATGCCTCCCAAAATTTCCACAGCAAAAAAATTTTATGAACATTTAGAACTACAATCTCAGCAGCAATACCAACACCTTTCTCAAGACCCCTTATAAGAAGAGCATGCCCCTATACAACCTCTTTGAAGTCCCTACAATCTCCTCAACATCTTTACAACCCCTTCAACAACTCAATTTGTTTAAGACTCCTACAGCTATTTTAAGGACCCTTTTAACTCTTCCAAGACTCACTCAGCCTCCTCAGCAAAAAGAACAAAGACTCAGAGAAAACATTAATGGGCCTTTACAGCATCATCTCCCACCTAAAATTTCAACCAGATCAAAATACAACTTTTTCTACCTTAAATCACCATCACATTTTCTTAAAATAATAAATTCTTCTTCTTTCTGCTGCTTTCTTTAGGGGTCATCTGCCTCCATCTCACCCTACTGGTAACATACCATTATTGTAGGGTCTTTGCCTTACAATATAAAGCTACTACTGTCACTCCTCAATCTGTCCTCTTCTCTTTCTTATTAGTCTTCTTCCATCTTCTCAGCACAGTCTCTTCACTCCTTACATTTTCTTCTCCATCCTTAATCACTCTAACCTGCTGCACATCCTTTCCAGCTCACTCTGCTGAGCCAATAGATACAATTCCTTTTCTCCTTCTTCAGTGTCCATCCTAACACACAGCTCACTAGAAGCCTTTTTCTTTGCCTGCTCTCTCTTTGCTGGACGCCTACTTCCTCTGTCATTTCCTCTTCATTTGAATGCATTTGGATATGTTTTGCTTCCGTCGCTGTCAACCACACTTTCAGATCTACTCATGTGAGCCTCTTTGAGCAGATTGCATGAATCATCGCTCTGTTTCATTCACAAACCTGCCGACAACCTGCGCCTGCGCCCAACACACATACACGCACACTTCTCCAAGCTCCGCCCCTCCCGCGGAGTGAGACGAAGACCCGATGGTGAATGAGTAACACTCATTGAGAGGAGCGACAGACAGCGGCTATCTGTTCGTCTTTCTGCCGGTGTTGTTCGGAGCCGCGGGGACAGGTAAGACCGTCTCTGCTCACCTGACAGTCCCAGACTTGACCTCAAACGCGTTCCCGCTCTGTGTTACTTCTCCTTTAAACAGCACTTTCACGGTGGTGATGTTTACAACTAACAGTACCTTCAGAATTTGACTAGAATGTATTTTTAAATATATTAATATTTTAAATTGTTTATTTCTTACTTGTTTTGTTGCTATTATTTTCACAAAAATATTTTTTTAATATTTGTTTCTCCTATGTTTATTAGATTAATAAGGACATTTATAAAATGTATAAATTGCAGTTTAACTTCACTGTGTCTCGCTAATCATCCGATAATATGTATTATTATTATTGTTGTTATTAATAATAATAATAATAATAATAATAATAATAACAATTATTATTGTTGCTCCCTGATATTGTCTTATTAAGTGTTTTTATTTGGTAGGTTTCAGTGTTTTGTTGCATTTAAACTCAAACTTAATTCAACCAAAAATCTTTAAATGGCACAACTTAGTCAACAAGAAATATACAGAGTCATCTAATGTAATCCTACAAACTGTCTCCTCACTGGATTAATGCTCTACTGAGATAAAACATTACCAGTGTTTTATATGACTGGTTTAACTAGATGAAGACTTACCTGCTTCTTTCTCTTGAGATTGAGAATTAATACTGAACAGTGATGTGATGCTAACAAAATCCCTTAAAATTCAGGATGTCGGAGTCCTTTATTTTCAAGTCGGAGTCCTTTATTTTCAAGCAAAGCCTTTATAAGTGGGAGGTATGGCTCTCGAGGAACAGGAGGATTATGCAGCAGCAAAGCTGTTTTTTTCTTCTGGAAGTACAACATCCAGGAGGAAAAAATTTCAAAAGCTAATTTTTTGGCAAAGTCAAACCGTATTATGATTATATACATGCATTTTTATGTGGAGGTAACCACTGAAATTACAGTTAATTTACAGAAAGCTTAAACTTAACTGCCCAAATAATTGCCCAGAGACATTTAAAGGTGGTGAGACTTGTTTCAAGAAGGACTCTGTGCATGAACATCATTGATTATCTGTTTATGTAGAGTTATAAAAACTTATAAAAATGAGTAGAATGTCAGTGAAGATGTTTAAATTATTTCATTTACTTTAAAAATATTTTTGTTTCCCTCCACAGGTCTTACTGCAGTGATGTTATCACTCCTCTTCCTCCTCCCTCCCTTCTTCCTCTTCACACCCGCCTGGACATTGGAGTTTCGGTATCACAACAACCATGAGATTGAGCAGTACCTCAAGCAGGTCAGCACCTCGAATCCTGACATCACACACCTGTACAGCATCGGCCAGTCTTCAAAAGGTAACCCTGCTCCTGCTGCTTCCTGTCCCACCTGTAATTCTGAGACTTAGTTGGGAGTTGAAATGACAAAAGGTGTGAAATGACAATTTGTGATGATCACAATAACAAGATTTCCTGGGCGGATGTGTTCCTCGTGAAGACTTCCCACACAGCCATGTGTTTAGCTTTTTTTTATTAAAGTCTTTTTGTTTTGATAGCCATTATCAGATACGGTGAAAAAAGAATAAAGGAGGTTATTGTTCCTGCGCCAATGTCTTGGGGCTTTTTTGAGATCAGGAGCTCTTATTTAAGGGATATCCACCCAGCAGCAGCTCAGTGAAAGAATCTAAAAAGGTAATTTTGCCAAATGTGTAAACAGTGTTGAGGTTTGAGGCTGAGGCAGCTGCTGCTATAAGCCGGTGCTGCAGAAATGAAAATGAACCGAATCTGGTTAAAAAGTGAACCGTTTCAGCTTTCTCAGCTCGACTGACAGACCGGGATATTTTATTTCTGCTGCAATAATCTTTTTTGTTCTCTTCATGATTCAGTTTGTCAAGATCAAGAAATGTTTCTAACTTTCTCTATATTTCATTGCATTTGATATACAAAACTGCATACATTAATGTCTTGCATTAATGACTTGCACAACCACACATGGAGTCCTTTTGCACTACTTCCAAACACTTCGCACCTGTCCTCTCCTGTGTGCCTTTTACGGAGCCCCACAAGGGACAATTGGAGAAAAAAAATGAAGATGAAGTTTTGCAAGATCCCGCAAAACTTTTACTCAGGAGCAAGATCCCGGCCGCATCCTTCGAAGGACACGGCCCACGTAGACCGCGAAGGCCTGGTCCTCCGAAGACTGACAAGGCTGGAAGTGCGAGGCTGTGAAATGGGATGGTCTAGCCTTCAGATTTGCGCCACCACCTGTGTCAGTTATCTGCTCCTTGCTATCTAAAATATAACGGGACACTGGAGTAAATTCGCTACCATCTCACACTTCTGTTTAATCAGTTTTCTGTTTGACGTTTATTTAGCTGTGTGAAAACTATAACTTTAATCTCAGCCAAACTGTTTTACTGAGGAACAAATAAAAAACTGAAAAAAGCCAAACAATAACATTTTTAAGTTGCCTAAGTGACTTATATATCATAATCTGAGTAGCGAAAGGTTGCAGGGGTTTTGAAAATGGTGTGCTGGAAGTCCACTGTTCTCGCCGGCTTTAGTAAGCCTTGAACCCCCCAACTAGCTATCGAGCTAGTGGGTAACAGACATCTCAAAAAACATTGGAGCACTTTTGCAAATATGTGATGTCTTGATAAATCAAGCAGATATTTGAAGTTACACACCTACATGGTAAATGGCCTGTATTTATATAGCGCTTTACTAGTCCCTAAGGACCCCAAAGCGCTTTACATATCCAGTCATCCACCCATTCACAAACACATTCACACACATTTTCAAATATCTTGAAAGTTTATTTTGTGACCCAGAAAGAGTAATATTAAAACTACGGAGCTGCCCCCAATTGTTGGTAACTGGAATTGGATGGGCCGCGCTATGAATTCTGGGATAGGTTGGGCCACGAAAGAAATATTCGACCCATCCTTCAAATTCGGGGAAATGAACCGCATTAGGAGGAGACTTTGAATTGGGACAGCCTTCATCGCCTGGCTGTGACGTAATCGGCCTTCAAATGCGGCCTCCGAAGGATGCAGCCTAGGGATTGGGACATAGCTCCTGAGTTACTTTTGCGAGATCTCGCAAAATCTTTTGCAGGATTTCACCAAATTAACTCTGGATCTCGCAAAATTTTTGCAGGATCTCGCAAAAGTTCATCTTAATTTTTTTTCCTCCAATGTCCCTTGCGGGGCTCCGTAGCCTTTTCTTTTGTTTTGTATATATTTCTCCTGTTTATTATTAATTGCTTCTTATCCTCCTGTCTGTGAAACATGCCTCATAAATGAATATCGCTGGCTGGCTTTATATTTCTAAAAGTATGAGCAAAATCAGTCTGTGTGAAGCTGGCCACTGTCTAATCACAGTCATCTGCATTTGAACATTTGAAACTTGAATACTTTAAATCTTCATCTACTAAACTTTCACTTCTGAAACAAATTCTGGTTTTTTTACATTCTGAGATGAGACATTAGGTCATAATGGGACTTCCTACTTTCCAAATATTAGAAGACAACCTTTCACAATCCTGCAACACAACACCCTCTTAACAATTTTCTCTTGTGTGCGTATCATATATTGTGCTGTGCAAGTCTTGGACTTGCTGCTAAAAAGCCAGACTTGCTCTAAAGCACACGGGTCAAACTCCAGTCCTCCAGGGCCGGTGTCCTTAAATTTTAACATGTGTCCCTGCTACAACACCCCTGAATAAAATTAATAGGTCATTAGCAAGTCTATAGATCTTGACTGCATGCTGAGGTGGCAGTTTAGCCATTTGATTTGTGTTACAGCAGCTCATGAGTGAATTAACATGTTGCAACAACAGTACTTTTAGAAGTACAAATTTCCAAACAGTTACATTTACTTACATTTATTTGAGTAGGTAGGGTTACGGGTTGCCACCTCAGCATGCAGTCAAGTTCTATAGAGTCTTGCTAATGACCTACTAATTTTATTCAGGTGATCTGCACATGTGAGTATGTACAGAGGAGGTCAGGAGTAGAGATCCAACAGTGTGAGTCTACAGCCATCTGTACAAAACAATGGACACTCTGTGTGACTCAGTTTGGGGCTTCATTTCAACCAGTGATGTTGATCTTCTCAAATTTAATGAAATTACAAATGCAGTACCACCAGATTTTGATCCAGCTTTCAATACCATCTGGAGAGCATCTGATTGCCAGCACCTTCATTTTTTCAGCAGGACAATTATCCCAGACCACGATTTGTGCAATTCTTATTGGTTTGGAAAAAGAAAATGACAATTTCATCCATTTAACATTAAATGTCTGACAAAAAGTGAGTAACAATGAATTCCGTTTGAGGCGACTGCAGGAAATACAGTACAGCAGATGTAGATTTAGGTGATCATAAAGCTTTGAAACACAACCTGTTCTTAGACTGATTCCCTTACATGTAGACGCCACAATAGGAATGATGGATAATTGATGAAGCATCGGGCATCCGCCTCTATACCCACCACCAATGACTGACTGACCTGGATCTATCTGTTGGTGGATCGCATGACTGGACAGTAAATAGTTTCTAATTTAATCCCAGACTGCTTAATCTGACACACACACAGAGCTAATCTGAGCTAATCTGGGACACCAGCTGGCCTCCGTCCAGCCCGAGTGTGTTTATGCATTTTTCAGTCTCATCTTGTCTTTGTGCAACGAATCAGTTTTTCCCTCAGGCTGCTGCTCTGATGACTGAGTCACACTTTGCCGTGATTTACGTGAGTGTGTGTTCCTGGCTTGTTGAGACTTGTAGTTTCATTCATTGAATAACCAGTAGTACTGGCAGTACAGTTACAGAAGTGTGTGTGGGTGGGTGTGTGTGCCTGTGAGGAAACTGACTAACTGAGAGTTAAAATTTAAACCTCAAAACTGCAGGCTGCCAAACCAAAGCACAGAGTTCAAAGACACTGAAAGAGCAAAGAGGAATTAAAGCCTTTGATTAAAAATATTAACTTATTTTAGTTTCTTCTAATACAGCAGATAAAGATTATTTATTGACCTTTAGTTTACTGCAAACATTAAAAAAGTTTCACGTAAAACACGTGAAAGATGCATTGATATGATTCTTTCTAACCAGCAGGGGGCGACTCCTCTGGTTTCAAAACAAGAAAAAAACATATATATATTTTGAAACATGAGAAAATGAGCCCGATTCCCACTTCCTCATATCTCATTATGAGCCTCAGTTTCACGGTTTTTAACAAATCACAACCCTCATTTTGTAAATTTTGTCTCCATATAAGGTCAAATGTGTGATAAAGCAGAGTGCTGTTTGGCATGGACACGTGGTGATGGACAAGCTGAACATTTAGTGTTCCTCTCCCTTCAACGTATCTGAAACTGATCTTAAAGTAAAATGGTATTCCAGATGTTTCCAGAAATAAAATGGAAGTGAACAGGGGAATAAATGTGCAGCTGCAGTTTCTCTAGTTCCCATAGACTCTTAAAATGAACAACTTTACAGCAGAAATAATCAAGCTTATAGCCTGATATAAAAATTGTTAAAATATAAAAAACTTGACTGAAAGTCAGTGAAACAGATCTGGTGGAGTGATAATTAATTTTCTACTGTTTACTTAATTGGACTGTGGACCTTGTAATTTTTAATACATAACTAGACAATTAATAATATAAAGAAATAAGGAGTGGACTTTTACACAGTAGTGCATACTAATCTGAAGGCTCCAGAATTTGTTAAGGACACAGGGAGGGCCCTGCAAGGATGGATTCTGGTGGCTTATCATCAAACTGACCTCCAAAGACAACAGATAGCAGTAATTCACAGGATGCAGGCAGAAAGGCATCATGGGATACTTATGTGGACAGAACAGAGTCACTGGATGTGAAGAGAGAGAGCACTTTTACGTTCACATGTTTTGAATTGCTGCTTACTTTCTTAGTACTGAATGTTGACCATATTGAATATTGTAATTCATTTTTCTCCTCAGTCAGTCTGTCAGCTGTGAACGCTCACAGCAAATTTAGAGAAGCAGGTCTCTGGAGACCGGGTGGACATTCAGAGTTTTATTTGTTTTGTTGTTTTTATTGTTGGTTTCTGTCATATTTTGTGTGTACTTGCTTTTATTGCACGTTGTCACTGTGAAAAGCTTTGCTGTAGCAAATATTTTTGTGCATGCTGGTGTGCGTTTCTTAGCATTCTTAACTAACCCAGGTGACAATGAACCGTTACCTAATTACATATTTTTATCTCCCAGTGCACATCATGTTCAATTAAGCAGATGTGAGCAGCACAAACTGTAACTCTTAGCTCCTGAAGGCTCTGTTTGCTCTGCGTGTCTCTCAGGTCAGCAGCTGTGGGTGTTGGCTTTGGGTGTCAGTCCTCACCAGCACACAGTTGGCATCCCAGAGTTCAAATATGTGGGTAACATGCATGGAAATGAGGTAAGACAATACACACACATGCACACGCACACACACACAGAAGAGTGCCACTCCCTTTTAACAGGAAGCAGGACTAAAGGAGGACAAAAGAGATCAACAAAAGCCATTCAGAGTCCAGAGCCCGTGGATTCCTTTGTGTGTGGACAACAGAGTGTGTGATGACCTGCATAATTCTCAGATAGAAATGGACAGTGTGCCGAATCAACCGAATCAAGAAACACTAATCTCAGGTTCTTTGTATACTTAGGCAGGTCAGTTAGTAACTGGGAATAGCTGTAATGGAAAAAAGTGTCTCTTATTATATGTATATGAATGGCTATTGTACATCTGAATGAAGCTCATAGTATAGAGAACATAAGGATTTGACAGTTAGTTGACTTTGAATGCCTCACTCATCCGTTTTATAACAGAAATGGATTGGAGGTGTGGCTTGTGTCTGTCACGCCATGTAACACACATGATCTAAAAGATGGCATTTTCAAGTTTTTGAAGATTTGCTCATTTAGGATGAGGCCAAAACCCAACTCCACCCTTAGTCGGCGTCTCAATGACCTGGTGGATGTTTAGAGGAAAAAAAAACCCTATATGATGCTTCACTTCTTCTGACCACAAAACAAGCATGAACAACCTCCTTTTAACCACATCACAAAGCAACACTCATAATTACAACTGTATGCACAGCTGGATTGATCACACCAAACTCGAATCAGGAGAGAGTGAAGTGCAGCAAACAACATCTAAGCTAATCACAGCACAGCATCCCTCAGGTGATTCAGTCTAGCAACAACCTAAACAGGAAAACAGCATTATGCAGGATTTTTGGTCGCACAGCTCTTTGAGCACAGACAGAAGTGGTTTAAGGAAACTTTAATATAATATTTTATATTTATTTAAACGTTTCTTATTAAACCCAGCAAACACTTTGACATTGACCTGGTAGTCTTTTTTGACATCTAGTCACGATCAAGGAATGGTTCAAAATGAAAATTGTGCCATGACGTGAAGGAGTCACTTTCATGATCATCCAGTGATGTCACTCTTTGGCTCATCAGTGGTGTGTTGACATCACATCTTTGGCCCAACTCAGCTCACTTGGAACCCCAGTAGTGCTAAAACAGTACCTAATACCAGATTCTACCACCTAAAAACTGAGAAGAGTTGACGCTGGGTTTTTTTTGTTTTTTTTAATCAATTTTAAATCATGCTTTTTATTTGTTTTTGTTTTTAATGTCTCTGTAAAGCACTTTGAATCACCTTGTTGTTGAATTGTGAAATAAACTTGCCTTGCCTTGCTGCTCCCATGTAGAAGTGTACAGATGAAAAGCTCAGCAGGGCACTGAGACCTTTAATCTGTGCAGTTCTGCAGATAAAAAAAATTACAGTTGACTTTTTATTTTATTTGCTTCTTCGCAAGAGTACACAGGTAATTCAGTTAGCTTTTATTCTTATTGACAGTATGCAGTATTTGAGTGTTTGACCTTTGAGAGACATTTTTACAAACTAAAACACCTTATCTGCATTTTTAACCTGACAATTCTCAGATTTTGTGCAAAAGTTTCAAACTTTTGTTCTTAGAGGAAACTGATTTGCTTGATCTGCGGTGTTACACAGCACATTCAGCCAGAGTTAGGTCATCAGTGTGATGAAATCTGTGGCACCACTAATCAACAAATAGACAAGCTCTGTTTATTCCAGTCAGAACAAGTTTTGTTCTGAACTTGTTCTGACTGAACAGAACACAGAAGACATTCAAACTGTTAACACAAAGGTTATTCTAATAACACAATGTAATTACAACCATCATTTAATAGTCTAATAATTCCATTGGGATGAGACAAATTGAGTCTGCATGAATGTCCTTAAAAACCAGACTAAAACGTTTGACCAGTGTCAGGTTGCCATGGTGACAGTGGACAGCTGATCACACTGCAAATGTGTGTGAAAGTCAATGGAAGTGTCCTTAAATAGACACGTTACGCCTGGACACACACGCACAAACAGAACCAGTGGAGTATATCGGCTCAGAGGAATACGGCCCCATACATACACATGGAAACAGCAGGGTGGCGAATGGGAATGCTGAAAAGGTGTCGTGTAGCGTGCACTGTCTGTGAGTACTCAGGAGTTTCTGACTAGAGTATATTTCCTGTGAGGCTCCCATGCTTTCTGCCACAGCTTCTACTGATTAACATTGAGAAACTCTGACTTGCTTGATCAGGCAGACAGACAAATTTTATTGTATCTTCATTTTATCGCATCTTTATTTTCCCCACACTGACTTCCAGCTAATTTCTGTATCACATAGCACAGGGGCAGGTTGAAGCATTCTGAAAATGAAACATATTTATTATTACATATTTAGTGTATTTGATGCAAAATGTGTACAAAAACAACAACAACAACAACAACAACAAAAACACGTTATAGAGCTAAAAGGAAACGCACAGGAGGAGAAAATTATATTAAAAGTGTAAATATGAAGTTATTTAAAAGCAACCTCAGATTAGCAACAACCCAACATTTTACATTGAGTCATCATTTATTCAACAAAACTAAACTACAATGCAGAATCAGTGTGTGAGAAACAAATTACATCCTGCACCTTGTTGAGATGCTTTTAGCAATAATAACTGCTGACTGCTGTGGGTCTCACACTGACTCTAGAATACTTTGCTATACGAGTTTACGGTCCACTCAATGACTGTAAGGTGCCCAAATCATCCCCACACTACCGTGCTGAGAACTGGTATGAGGTGTTTTGCTTCCTCGGGTGATTTGCATCATGGACAAAGATTTCCACTTAGAAGTGTTGCAGTTTGTCCTGATGTGTTTTTCCACACCAAAGCCGTGCTTTCATGTTTGTTTTAGAGAGAAGAGGCTTTCTTCTGCAACCCTTCCAAACAAAACATACTTGCTCAGTTTGTTTCTAACTTGTGTTATCATGAACTTTAACATTTAGCATGCTAACTGAGGCCTTTAGAGTCTGAGGTGGAGCTCTTGGAGTTTGTTGCAGTATCTCTGAGCGTTGCACTGTCTGATCTTTGAGGTGTAGAATGATAGACTTAAGGACCAGATGACTGTTTTTATAGAGATTGACAGACCACGTGACGTGACTTTCGCGCATTGCATGCCGGTAACTCGTGGCAAAACAATCCAAGTACCTGCATCAAATGCAAGCATTTGCAGCACCGCAAAACGTTCATTCTTCGGTTCCAATAAATTCTTGCTTTTTCTTTGCCCCCCAAAAAGGTGTGTACAAAACGAAGGAGAACAATGCCGGTCCGTTCAAAGACAGACTTAATGAAAAGTCAAAGAAAAGATACGAGGAAAAAAATCTAACCAGTGAAAGGGTCAGACCCTTACGAGCACACAGAGGGACAAAATACGTTAGCGTGCTGCCCAACTTCACCACGCTCATATTTATAATTATACGGTTCTTGGAGTGAGTGCATACACTCGTGAAGTTTAGTAACTTCAGGTCACTGCAACAAGCCCAGGTACAGTTTACCGACGGATGGGTACAGGACCTTGAAATGCACCGTGTAGAAAGTAAAGACCATCGTACGAACAAAGGTAAGTTTACCAGTCTCACAAATCGTCTTCATAAATACACATTCGTTAACCGTTTATTAATAGGACCTTTGAGCTCAATGGTAATTAATTAGTAGTAGAAATAATTTCTGGTACACATCACAGAAATGTAGCAGTGACAATAATATTGTATGCTGTAATCGTACTGGGCAATTAGTGATACAAAACAACTGTTTTATCCTGTGAATAAAAGTATATGTTTTTGTCAATGTACCATAATAACAGAAGCGAAACGCAATATTGTGTCAGGACAATTCACTATTTATGTACAATAAATAAAGGAGCATAGCTCGACAATTTCTGCTCAGCGCCAGACTTGCTTGTAACCTATATCACCAATTATGTTAAGAAAAATGACGCATTAACTACTACAGCAGACTGACCTTCGTGTAAATGCTTGGAGCAGACTAACCTGTGAGCTGGAGTGTTCTGAGACGTTATATTTAGTCTTTGAATGGCTGCAATCCAGGCCACCCGTCGCCTCTTTGTTACTTCGGAAACATGGCTCGAACAATTTCTCTTCAACGACGTAATCCGATAACAACCGATCTCTTTACCCGTCGGCTTCCCGTGGCTGTCATGCGACCGGCTATTGCAGTTAATAATACAACAGCTTCTTGACATTTTTTGTGTTTCTTTTTATCGCTGTGTGACTGATTTCAATTGAAAGCCTGCGTGCGCTAGTACCTCTTGCCACGAGTTCCCAGAATTCTTTGCGGTTTTACCCCTGAGTGACGTCACATTTTCAATCACTATTAACCGAGGGCTTAAAGTGAAAGAGGGTGTACTTTCTTTTTCACGTATTTTAAGTGTGCTTTAAGTTGGAAACAGTTGTTTAGTACAGTTTGCAGTGCAGGAAGCAAAGAACATCCATCGTATATCCACCGCATGACAGAAACTCTGAGTGAGCGAGCAAGAGGTCAGAGGATGTTTCTGTCATCGATGCTCAGATGTGCAAAATACAAACAGCCATCATGGCATGGCAGAATCATGTCAGCAGCAGGAATGCAGTCTTGCGTGTTAGAAATGTTTAGTAACACTAAATCAAACAGAGAACTTTCAGCGTCTTTAAACTTTGCCTGAAGGACAATAATAAAAATTTAAACAGGAGGCACTTCCTCCTTTCACACATTAACCTCGTACACTGAGTGTGCTGCACTGACCTTTCTTTGGATTCACTTGGAAGCCTGTTTGTTATTCTAATTCTATTTTTTGACTCTTTTAATGACAATATCTGTCGTATCCTAAATGACTCAACAGCTTTTGCACAGATGTTCATGTTCCCCAGGGGATAGATCCTGATTTTAAAGTGAAAGTATTTTCCTAAAGTGTCACTGAGAGTTCACGTTTCTTTCCTCAAATGTGATTTCTACTCTTGAATCGATGTCTGTGTGATTTTGGACATTTCT